ATATCTTCGATCTCGAGATTTTCTCTCGCTTATTTTTCGGATTCTTCGATTCAGTAGTTACCGATAGGGTTGGATTTATAGAATTTTCGAAGATGTTGTTCGTTCCGTTGGATTTTCGTTAGAAATTTCGATTTGATCCATTATTTGAAAAATTCGATTTGATTTGGCTCTGTTTGTGAATCTGTCTTGTTTCTATTTCTGTCTGCGCGAAGAAGCGAAGCATAGAATTGTGTAGAACAAGTGTTGTTTGTTCTTTCGTCTTAATTGGTTATTTATTGATTGAGCAAGTTTGTAATTCATATTGTGATTTTTTTTTTCCAGAAAACTTGATGTGATTATGATTTGTGCTTTTGTTGATTGGGGTTTGTTGGAATTAATTTGGTTGAGTAATTCTGATTTTTGGCCAAATGAAAAATTGAAACATTTCTATGGTTGTTTCATTGCATTTCTTGTCTGAATGTATGGAATAGAATTGTCTCTAATCAAAGAGGATGGTTCTGGCTTGTGTTCGTGTTAACGCACTTGTTGAATTTTTCACGTTCTCAACCGTATTCTACTGCTTGTTCATGACAGGAATAATCGTCTGTTTCGTAAATTTCAGCAATGTACGGTGGAACTGTAAGAAGAGTATCACGGCAAGATATAAAACTGGTAAGATAGACAAAATCAAGAGGATTGGTTTTTGTTGGTTTCTCGTCAAGTCTTTTGGTATGGGGCAGAGGTTTGCCTTTCGTAAGTGGGTTATATTTATGTGTGCAGGTAAAAGCTTCTCTGGAAATGGAGGATAACGACCCGAAAAACGACTTGTATAAAGAATGTTTTTATGCTGGAGGCTTAAGTGAATACATTAATTGGCGAAATGCCAATAAGGTGAGACTTTTGCATCTAGAGTAACTTTCTTATAGTTGTAGGAAAAGCCTGTCATATTTTCGTTTGTTGAACGGTGCCTAAATAAAAATATTCACTGGCTGCATCTCTTCAGAAACCGCTTCATGATGTGCTGCGTTTCAGAAAAGAGATAAATGGTACCTCCATGGATATTGCACTTCAATGGTATGGCCCTTTGCCTCCTACTGTATGTTGATGTACGTGGATGTTCGCTGAACTAGATCCTATTGATCTGATTGTCTCGTTGTTGTACCAGGTGCCTAGATGGATATTCAGACACAATTCTGGGATATGCCAATAGCATCCGCACCACTGATGGTGGAACACACATAGATGGTGTGAAAGCTTCAATAACACGAACTCTGAACAGCCTTGCGAAAAAGTCGAAGGTTATCAAGGTACAACACCAGCCACATCACTAGCTAGTATTATCTTTGTAACTCTTTCTATTTCTCTTTTTACGGTTTTGAAAGTTTGTTGCCATTATCATTTCGTTTCATTTGTCGTTTGCCTTCATATCTGCAGTTTTATATGCTTTGCTGTAAAAGTTCTCAGCACATTTATTATTTAACAGCTTTCTTTTGCACTAAATTAAGCGTTAAATGTTTACTAGTGTTAGGAAGGCGTTTCCGATGTTTTGTAACTGATATTGATATATATATTGATGGCGGTTTTGTTCAGGAGGATATAACCTTGGGTGGGGAGCATATTAGGGAAGGACTGACTTGCATTGTCTCAGTAAATGTTCCAAATCCTGAGTTTGAAGGTCAAACACAGGTACGTAAGACCATAGCAATTGTTGATTCTCTTCTTTGGCAATGAGATCTGTTCAACTAGCGTGGTATTATGCCCCGCTTTATTCAGTTTATTATTTGCCCTAATATTTTGTTTCCTACTATCGGAAGACGAGATTAGGAAATCCATATGTCAGGGAAATTGTTGACCAATCAGTCGAGGAGTACCTAACGGAGTATTTTGAATTGCATCCAGATGTACTTGAGGGCATTATTTCCAAGTCCTTGAACGCTTACAAGGTATGCACTATTGATACTGCTGTATCTTCATTTACTCAAGGCTTTTGAAGATATACACTGTTTTATTTTTGTATAATGTTCTACTTATAGCTTTCTTACTTTCAATTAAATGACCATGAAAATATACCTGGCTACTTTTCTAGACTGCTTTGGCTGTCAAGAGGGCAAGGGAAGTGATTCGATCAAAAAGCGTATCAACACTGAGCACCATTCCTGAGAAACCGACCAACTGCTCTTCTAAAAAATCTGGTATGTTTTAGCCATCATGAGAATGCCTCTTGATAGTAAGTCAGATCATGAGTTCTATTCGATTATTTTTGGTACATATGATATGACTATAAAACCACGTGGGTTGGCCAAGTGGTTGGAGAAGCCTGGGGAAAGGCCGTAAACTCGGATAGTTTGTTGCTATTCCCCACGGTTGTAGTAAACAATAATCACTTGGTCGATGGTCCAATGCTTTACCAGTGGTGAGTTTGTAGGAAACTCCTTGCCCTGAGCCTACTCACCACCACGAGTACTGCGCTATGGCGAACACAAACCAGACGCATGGTACCAATAAAAAACGCTGACAATAAAACATTCAACTTTTGGAATATATAGTGGCTACTAGAGATTTGATCTCACACATTCTGAGTGAGAAGTAGAAAAAAGGAAACAAGATAGTTTTAATTAAACTTTTTCCCAATGCCTCCAGAGATTTGTATAGGCGGAGGAAATTCTTCTGGTGGTGCTGCAAAACACAGCCTTGACAGGCGTTTCCAGGTAATACATTCTTTGACTTTAGATCCATCCCTAAAGTTTATATTTGGGCAATAAAGTAGCGATACTCGGTCTTCAAGCGGACTCCTGATGGATGCTTGAGAATAGCCATGCTTTTGTCAGATAAACATGAAAAGATTGGACGGAAAGAAATGTCCAATCTGCCAAAGAGTCCGCTCTTTACCAGCCAACAGACATTGTCTTTGTGGCTCTGACTGATATCTCTATCTCTTGCCAGAGCAAACGGACACGGGAGCAACCTTGGAGTGATTATGCAGTCTCTACAGCTCGTGGAAAGTCTTTAGAGAATACTAGTGATTCAAGCTTTGAGAAGAAAAGCAAAAAACCGAAGTCTTGTGTTCCATCCTCAGACCCTTGTTGTTCTTCACGACAAATTGCTGTTGCTTCAAACCCACAAATCCCTAAAGATGTTAGCAAGAAGAGTCCCAAAGATGTTACCCATGGCTCAAACAAAACAAGACCATTTATACCGATCGGTCCTGGATTTCAAGCTGAAATTCCAGTTTGGGTTGCCCCTACAAAGAAGGGTAAATTTTATGGTAGTCCCGGAGATTCGAATACTCTAAGATGGCTGGGAACTGGTGTTTGGCCAACATATAGCCTTAAAAAGAAAGTTCACTACAAAAAAGTCGGCGAAGGGAGATCCGACTCTTGTTCTTGTGCTTCTCCAAGATCAACCAATTGCATGAAACAACACATTAGAGAGGCACGGGAGCTTCTAGAGAAAGAACTTAACCGTGCTTTCTATACTTGGAAGTTTGATCAAATGGGTGAAGTCGTGTCAAAGTCATGGACATCCAAAGAAGAGCAAAGGTTTGAAGCTCTTGTGAAAAAGAATCCTTTGTCAACTAGTGAAGGATTTTGGGAATTTGCTTCCAAAGCTTTCCCAAGAAGAAGTGAGAAGGATCTCATTAATTACTATCAAAATGTTTTCCTCATCAGACGAATGAGAATGCTTGCTAAATCTTCTGCTGACCACATCGATAGCGATGATGACCACTATGATGACTTCTTAGCGGGATGAAGACTTTGTAGATAACCGAAACCGTAGCAGGATTACAGGTAATTCACTCCTCCATTCTACTAGTAACTCGAGTTTACGGGTTCTTGATTCTTAGTGATTCAAGAACATGTTCCTTTTCCCCTTGAGTTTTCTATGTCATAGGATCTTTTAAAAGAGATCCTTATAGGAGCAAAAGACCAATTATCCAAATGTGATTCTGCCGAAGACTAAATACGTAGCTTTTTAAAATTCTTTATAAACCTTTGAATATTTCGAATTTGCATTTTTTTATCCTTATAGATCTTCTCAGTATATTAGGACTTAAAAGTCTCTTGGTGCATATGACAAGAGAATCTAGTTATAAGATGTGCATTTTTGAAAAAAATGTGTGCGCTATCAATTAATACATATTATATCCGCAC